AATCCATACAGTAAATAGTCTATATTATCTACATTCATGTTGAGAACGTTCATGTGTAGCATAACTGAATGTACTCACTATGAATAATGTTGAGCAAAATAAACATTGAAAGATTAACTTTTCTAGTGTAATTTTCCTATGAAAGGCCTTAATACTCACCCGGGGGAAACAGCATATTGCATGATATTAAAGGCATTTGCATTTTGTTGTAGTGCTCTAAAACTCTCCATTACTGAAGAAAAGGATTTCCACTCAATTAAATCATGAAGCAGAAGATTATGCAGTTTGAGTCTCAAGATGTAAAAGGTTTGAAGAGACTGCGTATAGGTAAGAACTAATTGAAAAATAAGAAGAATGCCTGTGCTATGATATACTTTGATACAGTGGCAGTTAGGTTATTTCTTTTCCTTTGTTCCTTTGTTCCTTTGTGTGTTTGCCCTGAATGGTACAACTTATTTTCAAAAGAGATAAATCATGCATCCTCAAATTGGATGTGGCTAACTGGGTGTAGAGGGTTTTGGTCCATGAGTAGCATACAGTCTAACATCTGCTGTTACACTTTGTTTATTAGAATATAAATTAAATTACTGAGCTGGTACACAAGCCAGTCAATAGACAGCAGGCTAAATTTGTTACGGTTGAAAAAAGTAAAACATGGTATGTCTTCAACAAAGTTATTAAGATGTAAATTTGGGTAGGATAAAGGCTAGGGTATTGATTAGTAAATGTTGTTATTTAATCTGATTTTTTTCAGTAAATTCCAGTTGATGGAGTTTAAGGGCTCAATGGAATAAGAAGAAATTGAAGGAAGTAGTATTAAATTCTCAGCCTACTTTGGTTGTTAATTTCCTTTTAGCTCAGGGAAAATATAATAAAAATGAATCTAGTTGGTTCATTTTATTCTATATTTGAAAAATAGAGGCCCTGCATGGTGGTTCATGCCTATAATCCCAGCACTTTGAGAGGCTGAAGCAGGAGGATCACTTGAAACCAGTAATTCAAGACCAGCCTGGGCAACATAGCAAGATCTCATCTCTATTAAAAATTAAAAAACAAAATTCTCTAACAATTCAAGCATTTTTTAAAAGTTAAAAATAAAAGAAACAAACAAACAAACAAAAAACAGTTTTGTGTGGTGGCACACACCTATGGTCCCAGCTACTACAGAGGCTGAGGAGAGAGGGTAGCAGGAACCCAGGAGTTTGAGGCTGCAGTGAGCTATGACTGTGCCTACCCTTCAGCCTGGGCAACAGAATGAGACCCTGTCTTTTTTCTTGAGATGGAGTTTTGTTCTTTTAGCCTGAGCTGGAGTGCAACGGTATGATCTTGGCTCACTGCAACCTCTGCCTCCAGGACTTAAGCAATTCTCGTACCTCAGCGTCCAGAGTAACCAGGACTACAGGCTTACGCCACCACGCCCGGCTAATTTTTTGTATTTTTAGTAGAGACAGGGTTTTACCACGTTGGCCAGGCTGGTCTCGAACTCCTGACCTCGGGTGATCCACCCTCCTCGGCCTCCCGAAGTGCTGGGATTACAGGCATGAGCCACCACGCCCGGCCTACCCTGTCTTATAGTAATAGCATTATGGTGAACTATGGTGTTTCATTTTCCAAGTGAGGCTTTGGTGATTCGATCATTTGATAAAGTCATGGAGTTCATTAGGACGAGTGTACCTCCAAAACCCATCTGAGCCCCTTTGCCTTCACTGAAAATGTACCCCAGCATATTCACACTGATCGTCACAAGGTGGGCTGATAAAAGAGCATAAACAGAGCAGCGTGTGGTTGATGCTCACAAAATAGTTGTTGAATGAACTTTGTTCATTTTATGTTTTGAGACAGGCTCTCACTTTGTCGCCCAGGCTGAGTGCAATGGCGTGATCATAGCTTACTGCAGCCTTGAACTTCTGGGTTCAAGCAATCCTGCTTCCTCAGCCTTCCAAGTAGCTAGGACTATAGGCACACACTACCCGACTAATTTTGTTTCTTTGTTTTGTAGAGATAGGATGTTGTCATGTTGCCCAGGCTGGTCTCCAACTCTTGGCCTTAAGTAATGGCCCCGCCTTGGTCTCCCAAAGTGCTGGAATTACAGGGATAAACCACCATGTCCATGAATGTTGGTTAAAATTACAATCTCAAATGTCACATTTTTAGCTGGGTATGGTGGCATGCACCATTAGTCCCAGCTCCTCGGGAGGCTGAGGTAGAAGAATCGCTTGAACCCGGGAAGCGGAGGTTGCATTGAGCTGAAATCATGCCACTGTGCTCCATCCTGGGCAACAGAGCAAGACCCTGTCTCAAAAAAAAAAAAAAAAAAAATTAACATTACATTTGGCAGTAGTTAGTGATAACCGTCATTGCTTTTTAGCTAAATTTGGTTCTTTTACGTTATAGAATATATCTGAGTATAAAACAATGAGAATCTGAATGAAACTAAAAATAGTCATTTAACAAGTGTAACTGATCTGAATGGTTCCACGACACTTGAAGTGTGATAAATGCTGTTCAATTACCAGACACACACACACACGCGCACACACACACACACACACAGACTTCCAGGCCTAGAGGGAACCCTCATCCAGGCTTCACTACACAGCAAAGCTGCCCATTTTGCACCACCTGGGACCTAGACTTGAGAAAACCACAGCCTGTTTGAAATTGGCTCCCAAGAGCCTAACAATTTCTTTCTTTCTGCTGTCTTTTTGGTGGAGAACTTAAAAGAAAAAGCTGTTAGATATCCCCGGAGGCAATGGAGAGCCTAGAAGAGGATTCAAAAGGCTCCATGTAGCCCCCAGATGATTTTTTTATAGCTTTGAAAGTTTTAAAAATTGGGACATTTTACGTAAATATATGGTTTTGCAACTTCTCTTGAAATAAAGAATCTGGCATCTCTGGACCAATATTCCATTAGGCAATACTTGGTTGGAGCTGATTTGCAGCCGCCCTTTTCAAAGGTCCCCATTTACCTCGGTTTCTTACAGCGCCTAACTGTCTCACTCATTTCCTTACTCATCCAGCCCTTAACAAGTTTTTTGTTTTGTTTTGTTTTGTTTTGTTTTTGAGACAGAGTCTCGCTCTGTCACCCAGGCTGGAGTGCAGTGGTACGATCTCGGCTCACTGCAAGCTCTGCCTCCCGGGTTCAAGTGATTCCACTGCCTCAGCCTCCTGAGCAGCTGGGATTACAGGCACCTGACACCACACCCGGCTAATTTTTGTATTTTTAGTAGAGATGGGGTTTCACCACGTTGGTCAGGCTGGACAAGCTTTAAGTTGCTGACCCAGCCTAGACATTGGCGGCGAGAGTGGGAGTTCCATAACAGTGAGAGAAACCTCAAAAGTGTCAATTAATTTATCAGTGTGGTTGTAGCATCAGTTCCTACAATGTCTAGCATATTTGCACTCACAACTGCCCTCTCTTTCAATTTCTCATAGCAAGAAGCAAATAATTGCATATAATTTATTATGGGCTTGGCATTGTTTCAAAATTAACTCATTTCAGTCTCCAGAACAACCCTATAAAGCAGGTACTTTTTTAATCTCCATTTTCAGATGAGGAAACTCAGGGGCAAAAGTTAAGTAACTTAACCAAGATCACATTGCTAGTAAGTAGCAGGGCCAGGAATTGATTCTGTGTAGTCTGACTCCAGAGTCTTGACTTTTAGCCACAACAGTATGCTTCCATGTTACATATGCATTCAGGGGTAAAAATTCAGTTATTGGCCAGGCATGGTAAACACATGCCTGTAATCCCAGTATTTTCAGAGGCCAAGGTTGGAGGACTGCTTGAACACTGGAGTTTGAGACCAGTCTGGGCAACACAGTAAGACCCTGGCTCTACGAAGAAAATAATAATGATAATTTAATTTAATTCTTCAAAATATCTCTCCATGTCTACGAAAAGCACTCCGGATACCCAAAGCTGAACTGATTTTTCCTCCTCAGGGCTCCCAGACACTCTGTGCTTACTGCCACCACAACACTCATCACACAGCCCTGAAATTGCCAGCCAGACTTGCAGTCTAACTCTTAAGCAAAGAGAATACCTTATTCACCAGCATGTGGTATGTAGCACACATCCAGTGTTTATTGAATGACAAAGTAAACTGTGTGCTTTTTCACTTTTGTATTGCTACCCTCTTGGACCAAATGGTCATCATATCAAAACTGGACCAATTAACAGGATATTGAATGGTCTCACTGCCTCTGGACTTCCATCTTTCCAAAGCAAATTCTCTGCAAATGCAGATAATAACAGCTTGTTCTCAAAGATGTTGTAAAAATGTAATGAAAAAATGCTTATAGAGTGCCTAACCCAGGTGAGTGCCTGGCACTTAAAAGTAATTAGCAATATAGTGCTTACTGTTGTAGGTAATACTGGAATATTTCATTCAATATCTTTTTTATGGAGTCATCCCCAGACCCAACTTAAACTCCTGCCTGCAGCCCTGTACATGTGACTCCTTTCTCATCGTCAACCTGTGTTCCTCCATCTGGCATAAATGAAAGAGTGCCAAAAGCCACAGAGTAAGTAGGTTTCGGCTCCCCAGGAGCAGAAGTTATACTTAAGGACTTGGGATGCACTGTGAAGGGGGAACATTATTCTATGTCAATGCTTATGAGCATACATTATGGAGTCTACTGCAAAATTTCCAAAAATTTTTCAAAAGATAAAACATAAGACTTAAAGCAAATTCTTACTTGCAGATGACTGCTCCAGGTTAATACCCTCAGACTCCTCTGGAAACTAGGTCAACTGCCCTATGAAAGTACTGTCTGGCACCCAACAGATGCTCAAAACCCTTACTGCCTGCCAAGCTCTGCGAGCTCTTTTGAAGTCACTGGTTTCAATGAGAACTTCTTCTATGCATGTTTTCAAGTAAGAATAAGAACAATAATAATAGCAATAGCCAACCCTTACTGATCTTCTCCAGTGTGCCATGCTCCCTGCTAGGCAACTTATATCTCTTATATCTTTTTGGGTTTTTTTGCACGTGACATTGCTTTCTTTTAGTTGGAGTGAGGACAAAACCTGGTCATGTTCGGAGATGAACAGCCTCATCTAGGTGGTGAAGAACATTCTTATCTTTCTTGGTTAACCAGGTCCTAAATTCAAGGGATTTCCACGTGTTCTTTAAAACCACCTGAAACTGTCCTGCGCAGGCTCACACCGCGACTCTGTACCAAGGGCCTGGCCCCACCTACAGCCAGAGGTCATCTCACTGGATGTCATCATCATCAAAAAGATCTTTAAAATCATTTAAAAAGTCTGCATGAAAGGCCTTTTCATTGGCTGCCAAGTCCATCAAGAGCCTCGTGCTGCCTTCTGCCTCCTCCAGGTCCACGTAAGGCCCGGCGCCCTCGGGGAACATCTCATCCACGGCCAGATTCATCTCGGGTGCGCCTATATCTTATATCTTAATATTCTAACAACTCAGAGACATAGGTACAACTATTATCTCCTCTTTATAGATGGAAAACAGGCTTGGAAGGCTCCAATAACATCCCAATTCACATAGTATAGCTGTCTTCTGGCGAAGAGAGATTCAGACCCCAGACATCATCACTTTTCGCCAGTAGGCCACATTGCCTCTAGTCCAATAATAATGAAATCATTCTTTGTATTAAAAAAACTTTGTGTCTGCCATGAAGAAAGGATATTTCACTATTATTATCATGTTTATTTAAATATGCATATTGAATCCTTGAGATAAAGAGGTGAAACCCTCATGCCCTTAATTTAGACTATTTCTCCTTCCTCACCCACACATTGATGGTATACATCTAGTAGACTAAGTAAATACATCTTAGCGTATATACCATTAAAAACAGAAGAAAGTTTTAGTTCAGATCCTTCCTTTTTCCTGAAGACTTCTTGTTTGTGCACTATCTCGAATGCAAGAAAACATAAATTTATTTACTTAATTAATTTATTTATTTACTTTTTGAGACAGGGGCTTGCTCTGTTGCCCAGGCTGAAATGCAGTGGCATCATCTCAGCTTACTGCAACCTCTGCCTCCGGGGTTCAAGTGATTCTCCTGCTTCAGCCTCCCGAGTAGCTGGGACTACAGGCATGCACAACCACGCCTGGGTAATTTTTTGTATTTTTAGTAGAGACAGGGTTTCTCCAGGTTGGCCATGCTGGTCTCGAACTTCTGACCTCGTGATCCGCCTGGCTTGGCCTCCCAAAATGCTGAGATTACAGGCATGAGTCACCATGCCTAGCCCAAAAAAAGTAATTTATATTGCCTTTTAAAAGCCTTTTAAGAGTCCATTTCATTATAAAAGTGGTACACACTGGGTAAAAATAAGAGTATTCCAGCATAAATACACTTTAAACCCTTTCAGAAAGGCTGAAATATTGGCACTCTCTTCCACTAAAGCTGACAAGGAATACTAAGCAGCACTCTCTAGTAAAATCATATACTAAATATTTAAAAAGTATTATAAAGTGATAGGCTAGATAAGCAATAAGTATGTTTAAATACAGATAAATAAATAAAAGAATTTTATAAGAACGTTTGGTCTTCACCCACCCCATTCAATAGCTTCTGTTCAATTGTGAAGTCTGCACTTCAGTGACAAGAGAGTGTGAAAAGAGAAGTGAAATCGAATAGGAAACACAGTCACTTCAATGGGCTTAACTGTTTACAATATCTGACTTTTCACAATTCAAACAATTCTGCGTTTCCCACAACTTTCCAAAGTAACCAACTTCTCTTCAGAATGTGCTATTGTATATCTATATTTTTTTGAGACGGAGTCTCGCTTTGTCTTCCAGACTGGAGTGCAGTGGTGTGATCTTGGCTCACTGCAACCTCCGTCTCCCTGGTTCAAGTGATTCTCCTGCCTCGGCCTCCTGAGTAGCTGGGATTACAGGTGCACACCACCACGCCCAGCTAATTTTTGTATTTTTAATAGAGACAGGGTTTCACCATGTTGGCCAGTATGGTCTTGAACTCCTGACCTTTGCCTCCCAAAGTGCTGGGATTACAGGTGTGAGCCACCACACCTAGCCAGAATATGCTGAATATGGAATTATTTTTCTGGTTCCATATGGAAAAGTTTAAATTTTTTGTTCAATTTTTTATAGATCTCTTTAGGAACTGATGGAAAGTTTCATGAAAATCTTATGGTGCAAATTCAAATTTTTCTAATCATTAGCAGATCCTGTTTAAATAAGATTATCTCTTGATTAAGAAGGTCACTTTATAGGGAGAGGCTACTTGACTGATATTGCACTCAGTAATGGAAAAGAAAAAGAAAAAGAACAGTCACGAAAAAGAGTAGCTACAATCTCTTTTTCTACAATGCAAAACTAATTCTACAATGCAAAACTAAATCTACAAACAAAATCTACAATCCAGATTTTGTATATAGACTACTATAAAAACAAGCACTGAAAAATTAGAGCGTAAAGAAGTGTGATAGACACTTAGTCCTGAACTCAGTGCCTAAGGAATAATTGAATTCCCAACAAACACTGGTTGTTCTATGGATTCATGGTACATTTTACCACATTTTCTATTTTATTTTGTGTAGATTTCATGTGTTTCTATGATTGGCTAAATTCAGAATGGAAATGTCATTCACTGTGATGTAACCTTGAGCAAGTCAGTCTCTCTCTGTGGACCTCAATTCCATCATCTATAGAATGAAGGGTTTGGATGAGAATATCTTCAAGTTCCTTCCAGCTCTGCTACATTATACAATTCTAGATACTAGCTGTGGTCAAATACTGCTCTTTGTAATTTTCCTAGCACAAGGCATGGTGCCTAAAATTTATGAAATACACAATCAAGGATGAATAAATAGAAGCTTTCAAAGGAGGAAGTAAAATACCTGATGAAAATGAGATGGTTTGGGTGCCTAGCTAGACTATAGGATGTTAAATGTTTTTCAACTTTGCTGTAAGACATGCTTGTTGTGATAAATGCATTATAGAAACTCGGAAAAAAAAAAAAAATGAGGCTGGGTGTGGCGGTTCACTTCTGTAACCCCAGTACTTTGGGAGCCTGAGGCGGGAGGATCACTTGCACCCAAGACTCAGAGACAAGTCTGGGCAACATAGGGAGACTCTGTCTCTATAATTTTTTGTTTTGTTTTGTTTTTAATTAACGCAACACAGTGTCTGTAGTCCCAGCTACTCAGGAGGCTGAGTTGGGAGGATCTTTTGAGCCCAGGAGGTTGAGGCTGGAGTGAGCCATAATTGCACCACTGCACTCCAGCCTGGGAAACAAAGTGAGGCACTGTCTAAAAAAGGAAGAAAGGAAGACAGAGAAACAGAGAGAAGAAAGAAAAAGAAAAAGAAAGAAAGAAAGAAAAAGAGAGAGAGAGAGAAAGAAAGAAAGAAAGAAAGAAAGAAAGAAAGAAAGAAAGAGGGAGACGGACGGAGGGAGGGAGGGAGGGAGGAAGAAAGAGAGAGAGGAAGGAAGGAAGGAAGGAAGGAAAGAAGGAAGGGGAAGGGAAGGGAAGGAAGGGAAGGAAAGAAATAGACTTCCCCGTCTACCTCCTCCTGAAGTAACCAGTTTTATATTTTTTGATATATAACCTTCCATTTCTTTCTCTATACTCATACAAAATAAAATGTTGTGGGGTTTTCTTGGGGTGTTTTTTGTTTGTTTGTTTTGTTTTTGTTTTTGAGACAGGGTCTGGCTGTGTTACCCAGGCTGGAGTGCAGTAGTGCAATTACAGCTCACTGCAACCTTGGTCTCCCGGACTCACATGAGCCTCCCACCTCAGCCTCCTGAGTAGCTGGGACCACAAGCGCACTCTACCATGACTAGCTAATTTTTGCATTTTTGTGTAAAGATGGGGTTTCACCATGTTGCCCAGGCTACTCTGAAACCCCTAGGCTCAAGTAATCCACCCACCTCAGCCTCCCAAAGTGCTAGGATTATAGGCGTGAGCCACTGTGCCCAGCCATAAAACGTTTTTTCTTTAGAAAACATTAGGATATGTTTTTAAGTTGACAACATAGTATGAAAATGTTTAAATTTATACTTTTTAATAGCTGCAAGATATTCTTTAGTATAGTTATATAATGTGTTAAACCATGACCCTCTTTTCCCAAATTATTGCTGTTCCAACCAATCCTAGAGTAAGTATTCCTATACATAGAGTCACGCATACTGATGTTTATATTTTCAATTTATTCTTGAAAGTAAAATTACCAGGTCAGTGGATAGGCACATTGTAATTTTAGAAAATATTGCTTGATTATTTTCAAAAATATTTCTACTACCTCCAACCATATGCAGAATACTGCAGAGTTCTGCCTGTTTTGAATGCATAACTATTGAATATTTTCCAGTCCAATAAGTGAAAAATGGTATCTCACCATTTTAAATTGCATTTTCCTAACCACCAGAAATTTTAGTATCTCTGCATATATTTATTTGCATACATTTTTGTTATGCTGCATTATGCCTTTACTGATTTGCTTTTTATATCCTAAGCATATTTTCTATTAAGCTAGCTGTCTTTTTCTTATAAATTTATAGGAGTTTTTTGTATAGTAGTTATATCGACCTTATATCGCATGGGTTGACAGAGATTTTGAAAACTTTTCCCAATTATTACTTACTGAAAAAGTAATATAACAATATTCACTTTTGATATGGAAATGAAGAGTGCCTTAGTACCAGAAATAGTTCCATGTGATAAAATGACTGCTGTGGACTGAATTATATCCCCCTAAAATTCATGTGTTGAAGCCCCAACCCCTAAATGTGATGGTACTTAGAAATGACAACTTTTAGAGAGAATTAGGCTTAGATGAGGTCCTGAAGGTGGGGTCTTCAAGATAGGATTAGTGCCCTTATAAGAAGAAACACTCTCTCTCCCTGCCATGTGAGGACACAGTGAGAAGACAGCCATATACAAGCCAGGAAGAAAGCCCTTACCAGAGGCCAACCATGCTGACACCTTGAAATTGGACTTCAGCCTCCAAAAACTGTAAGAAAATAAATGTCTGCTCTTTAAACCATCCAGGTCATAGTATTTTGTTATGGTAGCATAAGCTTACTAAGACAATAATAAGATATAAAACTCAAAGACTATATTGCCTGCGAGACAGCAGCACCTCTCAGCTTCTTCACCAATTGTTTATTTCAGTTTGAACGCTTTCAATCTAAACTATTAGCCATTTACTAACCCAATATGTCTTTTGGCATCCTCTCATGTGTTGAGCATGAACCATGTTCTCAGGAATGAGGAATGGGGCATGGGGGAGATATAGATGAATGGATAGGTAGACAGACATACAGACAGACAGACAGACAGGTAGATAGATATAATCTGTGTAAGGAACTACCTTAACCTTTTTTTTTTTTCTTTTTGAAATGGAATCTCTCTCTGTCACCCAGGCTGGAGTCTAGTGGCCCAATCTTGGCTCACTGCAACCTCCACCTCACAGGTTCAAGCAATTCTCCTGCCTCAGTCTCCCAAGTAGCTGGGATTACGGGTGCCTGCCACCACACCCTGCTAATTTTTGTATTTTTAGTAGAGATAGGGTTTCACCATGTTGTCCAGTCTGGTCTTGAACTCCTGACCTCAGGTGATCCACACACCTCAGCCTCCCAAAGTGCTGGGATTACAGGCGTGAGCCACCGTGTCCAGCCTCAAACTTGGTAACATAAAACAGTACCATGTTATTAGGCTTACAGAATCTGTTTCTACTTCACAAAGTCTGGAACTCCAGGTGAAAAATCTCGAACAGTTGGGATGACTCAAATATTTCAGGGCTAGAATCATTAGAAGGTTTTCTACTCATATATCTGGTCCTGAGCTGGCATGACTCAAAAGTTGGATTCAGCAGAGACCGCCAACCCATCAACAAAATGCCTGCTCCTGACCTCTTCATGTGACTTGGGCTTCCTCACATCATGGTGGTCTCTGGATGGCCAAACTTCTTACATAGTAGCTCAGGACTCCAAGTGAGAACGTT